AGGTATGGCATGCAAATACTAACGAAACAGATCATTTCATTTCTATCAAAAACTAATTTACTTTTTACCTTTGCTTTTGATGACTTTCTGATGCTGAAAATTACTACATCTTACATTACTTCATAATGTCGCTTTGACTCAAGAGCAATATTTGAAAAGTTCTAGCTTATAGTTAAATTAAATCAACCAGCAACTTAACAAATATGCCAAAAGTAGCTGGGCCTGTGTATGACAAAGAATGAGTGCAAATGGACAAAGAACCAGTATAGGGCTGTCTCCTAAATTGGTATTAGCAAGCACTAGCATCACCAGATGGGCTGACATTAAGTGCTGTTGATGGCTGATAACAAGAAGCAGCAGGACTTTAAGGAAATGAGGGGAAATGTTTTACATTTATCACAGTGACTTAATTTGAACACTTAAGTAGCAATTAAATCATGCTTATTGCTCAAGGTGCATGATGACCTGTCATGTCAGTTATTAAAAATGTTCCCAACTTGGGCCATTAGCCTTGAGTCAAATATGAGGTTCTGGCATTAAGCCTGAATGTTAAGTTGTACTCTCATGGATAGTCTGTATGGCCCAATAGAAAGTGCCTAATAGGAAGACATACATTTAAATTTGGTTCTGCCACTTACATAAAGGTCCGCCTTGGAGATACACTAAGGGGGACCTCATGTACACTTTAAATGTGTATATAAATCACCTAGTGATCTTGTTCAAATGTAGATTGTGAATAAATAAATCTGAGAAGTGGGGTCTGAGATGCTGCCTTTCTACCAAGCTCCCATGTACGCTGATGCTACTGGCCCTCGGACCAACTTTGAGCATCAAGGCCTTAGAAGATTATTGATAGATCATGTAAAAAGTACATGTGTGCAAATGAAAACACTTTGTAGATGGTAAAGTAGCATATATTAATATATCACTTTACATTGATTAACAATAGATGGGGATTCAAGCCAGCAAGAAAATGTCCAATAGAACAAATTATGTTTCAGATATCCTTCAATTTTTCCTTTATAGCAAAATAGAAAACAAAACTGGGAATTGGAGGGGTAACATAAGAGGTATATTCATGCTAAACAATTTTGTTGCTTTCTGATGGCCTTGAAAGATTAACTTCCATATAACTACCCTGAATAAAAAGATGGAAAAAATGTTTTTTTTTAAGAAGTTTGTACAATTAGACTCAGTCCCATATTTGTCCTACAGATCGGCTGATTCCAATTAAAACAGAAATAGTAAATGACAAAAAGGAGAAAGAAAACTGTGGGCTCCAAAAACACTGGTGACAAGAAAGAATCACTGCAAACAAAGAAATTAAAAACTAATATAAGCAGACATAAGAAGAGAGAAATCGAAGCTGTATGAACACCTAGTTTCCCTTAGCGAAACTTTTCTTTTTCATTGGCGTTACCATTTTCTAAAGGAAATGAACAGAATTCACGGGTTTAATCAATGATTCATAAAGCATTTCTGTGTTCCTTATCCAAAGTCCAATCAACAGCTCCCTGTCAAAGAAAACATAGATTCTCTCTCTGAGGTTCCAGTCCCACAACATTTTGGCCAATTTTTCATTATTGCATGGTCAGTTTGTGACAGTATGTGAAGATTTTTATCATGTATTAGAAAATACATAGCAGGCCCCTTTGTATGGGATAAACCCCTCACAGTCTTTTAGATTTTGGACAGACCCAGATTGTCAAACACTTTGCTTGCCCCCATGATGGATCTCTTTATAACCACGATTATAGTTAGAACTCTGCTTCCAAATATTTATCAGACTCACCTTTACCCGAATTTTATACTTTCTCTTCCTGGTTCTGTCTCTGTTTACCCTCTCTCACCTGCTTGTGGTGAGAGAAAACATCACGCACGCAAAATCCAAAATGCCATTGTTAAACAAATACGTATGAATGAGAACTTAGCTTAGTGGCCTCAGAGACAGGAAGAAATGATAAACAAGATTGAAATCTGAGTAACTGTCAATGTGTTCTGGCAGTACTATTCCTTTGAAAAATAGATTGAATGTGAAACTATTAATACCAATTACTAACTTAATTCCTCAGCCCAGTCGATATCAAATCATGAGGCCATTTAAATGCAAAACAGCCACTGAGCGAGACCAGTTCTGAAATCATTCAAGAAACAGATACTTGAAAAATATTTATAGACACCAGAACTGCGCTCATAGTGGAGAATATGACACACCTGCAGATTGTTCTTTGCTCCAGCCCTGGGTAATCTGGGTCAGCTGCCCCAGGTGGGTGGCCTCATAATTAGGCAGCTCTTCACTCTCCAGTTGCTTCACCTGAGAAAACCCGAGCCTTTGAGGATGACTGAGCAGCAGTTCCCCTCCATAGAAACACTTGTGTGATACACCAGGAGTGGTTTTAAATGGTGGAGATAATTACTTAATTCGAGCTGTAGCGACTGGCCAAGTAAACATGTAGCAGCCAGGAAGCTATTAGCATGATTTTAAGGCAATTATTCCATTAGTGTTTAATAGTCTCCAATTAGTCTTCTCTGACTATCAAAGTTTGAATGTCTTTTTTTCCTCCAAAAACTCTCAGGGCTGAATAGTGCAAAAAAGTACCAAACCTTTTTTAAAACCTGGTTTTATATGTATGGATCTACCAAACCTACTAATTTACAGAAACAAGAGGGTATTAAGGAGTATAGATTTGGTGAAATATATTGTGTTTATTTTTTTCTCAGAAGGATTGGGGATCCACTTTGAGTATAATAGTAAAAGGAGTGGAGAGAGCAATGGAAATTCCCACGGCAGCCTAATGCTATCATCTTTATGTCTTTACTCTTAAAATCACCAGAATATTATCAAAGTCTCTGACCTCAGCCTTTCACTTTGTTCCGGGAGGAGAAAAGGGAAATTGCCCTGTTCCTGCTAATGCCTAGTTCCTTGTCTCCTCACTCTGGTTAGTACTTGTTGCTGCTGAATCATCCAGATAAAAATCCCAAAGCCTTTCTCTCCAAAATTCCTAGGAGATTTTCCGTAAGGTCCAGATTAGAGGTCAGATTTCTGAACTGATAGTAGGTCATTTGTCTTCACTGAGCTTCAGTGTTTTCATCTATGAAATGGAGATAATAATGCCAGCACCGCCTGCTTCACGGGGTTTTTGGAAGGAGTATGTGAGCTGGTGAATGTAACGGGGCTTTGAAAAGTGAAGTATTAAAGAAACTTAAGGTAGATTCAAAATGGTATCATGCCATCTCTCAGAATTAGCTAAGCAAACTTAGGATTTTAACCCTACTAGAGAGTCACCTATCAGAAGGCTGCCATCACAGTTCTTTCCCTCTTACTTTCTATAGGTATCAAAACATTCAGGTGAGACCATGTGAAAGTAACTCTCTAAAAACCAAATAAGAATAAAGGAAGAAAAACGATGAGAATGGCTGTGAAAGTGAGAGTGGAGTTATGCCAACAAAGTTGTGTACTTTCTGCTCGCTCCTTGAAAAGAGCAATCTCTAGGCTCACACAGGTAGGGTGAATGCAGCCTGGAGAAGCTGGGGTGTTCTTTTCCTTGGAGATCCCTGAGTTCTTGGGAAGCTATCTGTTGAAGACAGGACAAAAGGAGACAACCCTTTTTGTGGAGGAGGCTTACAGGGCAGTCTGTGCCTGTCATTGCCACCAAACAACCACTTGACTAACAACCATTGATTTGAGTTACTGATCAATTACAATGCTGTTAGTTGGAGCCTCTAGAGATTTTCAAGAGACCCCTTCCTTCCCGTTTTGTTTTTGTCTTGTTATTTATTACATTTTCACCTAGTAGCTGAGAGGGGGCACTGGATGGGGCAGATCAGAGGAGGTAGACCAGAAGGTTGAAGTTAATAGAGCTCAGTTCAGAGCCGGGAGAGGACCACCCACGACTAATTGTTCTCCAGCGGGGTACTGGAACGATCAGGTGTATGCTCCCTGAGCCCAAGTGCAGAGCCAAATTGGTAACGAAGTATGGCCGTGTCCCCAGCTGTCATTGTCGTAAACTGTCCTGAAACGACCCTCCCTCCTGGATACCTGAACGAGGGGCTGCTACGCTCTCCCGCCCCAGAAAGCTGCCCAGTCCTCTGGTCCAAGTCGCGCGCGCCATGCTGAAGCTTCTTGATCCCTCCTGTCTCTTCCTTGCTTTGTCCACACTTCCTTCCTTCTAGGCTGTCTGGACACCAGCTCAATCACCTTTTCCCTACCATTTGTCAGTTAATCCCACCCCTCCACCACGGCTCACGCAGGTTTTCCTGCCCGGCTTCTGTCCCAAGCAGCAAACGCACGGTTCACAAAGGTTTGCTTTTCTGACCCGGGCGATATTCGCTGCTAACACGCACTTGGACCAGACTCTGGACGGTGGCTACTCGGCCAGGCCCTCCGGGGCCACGCCGCTCAGGAAACTGTGCCCTCTGCCCGTGCCCCCCTTCAGCTCCCTGTCAAGGGCAGTTATCATGCTGCCGCCGGTCCCTGAACTTTCATCACTCTTCGGGAAGCGCTTTGTCTCTTTAAAGGAGAGTGGGGACGAATATTAATGACTCTAACCGAGAATCTACCAAATCCGCTCAATTCCGAGCCGGGGATGGACTCAGAGGTCCACGCGCTGGAGCCGATCCCCTAGGACACAGGCTCGCGCTCACCGCACACGATCACCCCCCAGACCCAGCAATTGCTCCCACCCCCAAAATCTGCAGGGAACACCATGGCAGGGGGGCACCAGGCGTCACACGGGAGCCCAGCGTCCCCCTGCCCCAGTCCTGCGCATACAGCCTGCTTCAGAAGCCCAGGAGAAAAGCAGTCACCTTGACTCCTGGCGCCTGGGTTCCTAGAGGTTTGACAAACGCCAGGAAGCCCAAGGCGACCAGGCACACGCTCGCCTGGCCCGTGACCCACCCCTGAGGAAGACTTTCCCTCCCGCGGACATCGCGGCAAGTTATCACTTAGTGGCAGATAAAGCAGGGCGGGGCAGGCGGAGCGGGCGCCTCTGCGCGCCTACCTGGGATGGCTAAATTGGTGAGGGGGATGCTGTGGATGCTCTCCGGCAGAGTTGCCATCCAGTCGGCGAATTTCAGTTCGTTTTTCCCCTGAGACGAGGCCATCGTGCCGGTCGGCGTGCAGCGCGCTGGTCCCCGCACTGCTCGGGCAGGTTGCAGGCTGCTGCCGCTAATCCAGTGTTTGCTCCAGCCCGGCTAGAGTTTACACGCCGCTCTGCGCCACACCCACAGGATGGCGCAGACACATGCTAATTTTAATAATTATTCAAAACACCCCATGCTCCCTTAGTGCCTCCACCAGACTCCGCCGGAGCTTTTGTTCCTGACGTCCGTGCTCAGCTCTCCTCTCCGCTCTACCCTCCCTCCCCAACTCCCTCCTCCCGTCTTATCCTTCCTAGGCGTCTTTGCCTTTCCTCGCCATGCTGCAGTTTTCCTTGGCTGCTGCTGCTTTTATTTTTTTAACTGTTTTGCCCATGGTCTTACTCAGTCCTCTGGTGTGACTTCCTGATCCTGTTTGTATGAAAGACCGTCTTGCGGTTGCACCTAAAATCCTAGTAGACTTCGGGATGTTATTGCCTCCTGAGCAGCTGACTCTCATGCCGGCTTTCAGGACTTTTCATCCTTACCAAATAGCTTTCCTTTTTGTAAGTTACAACAGGTTATCCCTTTTCTCAGCGGTAGCCCACAGCCCTGCTTATAACAAAATGGTGGTCTTTATTCACCACTTTGCCTCATTTTTTTTAATAGCTGATAAGGGTGGTGTCAGTATAAGGCACAGTTAAGTTCTAGGCGGTTCCTACTTAATCCTGGGTACCCTGTTCCAGACATTTCAAATCAAGAAGCACTGTGCTTCCTTCATTTTCCAGATCATGAGAAGTCTATGTTATTTCTATGGAGAAAGCTTCCTCTGTCCTGCCAGTTTCATGACACTAAGGGTAAGACTGAAGCCTTATGCTGGAAGAAAATCACCACATCTCCCAGTGACATGCTGTAATTATTGCCAGTAGCATTTGGTGGAATGTATTTGGCACCATTCAAAGTGATCTATGTGACTGTCTGGATTTTCATTCCTTGGCAGACTAGAGAGATGTGCCTCTCTCAAGAGAAATCACTCATTGAGCCTCTAAAGAACTGTCTGGGTCTACCTGCTCTCAGATAAGAAAAAGGAGAGAGATCAAGTCTTACAAATGTGTTGAGATCAGGGGTGGCCTGAGTAGGGATGTGGACAGTCAGACATGGACTGAAAGTGTGCTGGGCCTTTGCAACCCAGAGAATGGAGATGCAGTCAAGGTATTTCTGTTCTTTCATCCCAGTGGTGTGTAAATCCTTCCTTTTCTAAAGGAAATCCTATTAGATTGGGGAAATGAAAATCAAGGTAGGAGAGAAAGCTATGAAACATAAGAACAATCGTTTCAGTTTGTTAAACCCACATAATGCCACATAGCATTAAAAAAGAAGAAAAAAACCTGAACCTAGCTTATTTTGTACAAAGATTCTGAGCCCCAAAAATATGCACCCCCAAATGAGGAGCACTATGGGAAAGGCAGAGAGAGGAAAGATAATCCCTTATCCTTGGGATCAAATTTTCCATCCCCCCTACCACCATAGAATCAATTAATAGGTTTAAGAGGATATGGTACAGTTATCTTTAGGGATGAGAAAGAGATGTACTGGAATTTTTTTCTCCAAGTAAATCTTAACATTCACGCTAGCACAATAGAACCCACATATAGTTTTAACTAGGATGAAAATTTACCTCACTATAGGATTCTTGGTCAAGAGACCTACAAACATCACCCTTCTGGCTAATGCTTGTGCTCTCAGGGCATCACTGCAGGGCAGATCTGGCGGTCAGCTGCTCTGTCTTTGAGTAGTTCAGGCACGTCCTCTAGTCTCTGGCAGCCCTAGTTTTCTCCATTATAAAATGGTGGTAATAACTCAGATTTGTGGTGAAGCATCTGGGAAAGAGTGTATGTATGTTTATTAAAATAACAGGATATGTGTACTTACCTCTCCTTGTCGTTTCTATTCTTATAAAGTATTTTTTTCAATAGAATAAAACAATTATGGAATCTGGGCAATATTTTTAATAAGATACACTTTTAAAAACATGCCCTGTTAGAGTATGTTGGCCTTATGGGTCCCTAAAAGTTTACAAAGTATTTTATAAAAGTGAAACCACCTTAAACACTGAGGAAAGTTCCCTCTGTAAAGAATCATATACTACGTTTTGGTAAAACAAACAA